CCCCCCCACCCCGGCTCTGCCACCCGCCTCCAGGCGCGGTCCGAGCTGAGCCTTCGACGACCCGGCCTCCCGCCCCGCCTCGACGCGCGCCCCCCGCGCAAGCCCGCGGGGAGGGAGGGCAGAGGCGGTGTGGTTGACCCACAAGGCCCCCGGCCAAGCTCCTAGGCCGGGGCGCAAGCGGAGCGGAGCGGGGCGTGGCAGGGCGGGGCGCGCCGCGCCGCGCCGGCCGGGCCGGGCCGGGGGTGTCGGATGTCACCCCCAGCGCACACCTCGGCCGGGGGGCGGAGGAGCGAACCACTGAGATGCGGAGACCTCCCCGGTCCTAGAGCGGAGCAGGAAGTGTCCCAGGGGAGGGAGCCGGAGGGCTTCGGCCTTTCCTTTCCTCCGTGTCCGGCGGGCTCCGGAGGCGGTCAGGCCTGCACGGCCCGCCAACTGGGACGCGGCGCGGCGGTGAGTGCGGCCCAGGCGGCCCAGGCTTCTGTGGCCCGCGCGCCCTGCCTCGCTTCCAGGAGCCGTGCGGTGAGTCTCCGGGGAGGGGGATAAGACAACACAAATGTTGCCTGAAAAACATCAGGCGCCTCCATTTGCTACCATTTCTTCCCTCCTAAGCGGAGCCGTGGTTTTCTGGATGAGCAGGAGACGGGGGCTCGGCTAGCCAGGGACGGAGTGGCCTCTGCAGAGAACCCGCCTCAGGAAGCACACCCGGGGGACCGGGCTGGAAGGATGAGGAGCTGCTGCCGCAGACTTCCGCCGCAGGAGGGATTTGAGTTAGACGCAGGGAAGGAGTTCCAGGCTGTGAGGTGAGGAGCCGGGAACTGGGTAAAGTGGAGGTGGATATGTGTATGTGTAGGGAGGGAAAGGGAGAGAGGGAAAAGGGAGAGAGATCTGGAGCGAGGAAAGGCTTGCCCTTTTTCCTGGGCATGCCCATCCCCTCTTCTTTCTACTGATCCAGCTCTGTTCCTCCGCCTAGAGCTTCTTTAAGCATGCCCCGCCTCCCTGTGGGATCCTCTTGGGACCAACGTTAATTCATTCATCACACATCATTTCTGAGACTCTTATGTGCCAGGTGCTAGGGTGACAGGAACACGGCTGTCTGGTTAGGGATGATGGGCAGAGCCTAGAGCCAGATGCCCGAGAGAGGGTATCTGAGTACTGACTGAGGGTGGGGCACAGGTTGGGTGCAGACCTGAGGAACCTAGAGGCCCTGCACGTGTGTGATGGCTGAGTTCATGGAACGTGGCAAGTGAGTAAGGCTGAGATTGGGTGTCAGATGCAGGAGCAGACACTGGAGGAAATCCGGAGGCGGGGCAAGCTATAGCATGTCCAGCCAGATACCCTCAAAGTCCTTTTATGCCAGTCTGTATTTGTTTTTATGTTGGAAAGCAAAGAGGTATAGAGATTTGGGTTTTTTTGATTGCCATTCAGTGACTTTGTTGTTCTTCTGTGAAGAACACTTGTCTTTCTGTGAAATGGGAATGAGGGCTGCGTTTTGCATGGAACCCTTGCGGGGTGGGGGTACTGAGCTGTTAAGATTAAGGTGCTGGCATGCTGGGGAGCCTCATAAACCTGGTGAGGAGGGCAAGTGACCATGTCCAAGGATCTCAGAGGCCTTATGGTGGTGGTGGGGGCCTGTGTGCGACCCCACGTGCCATTCATTTTCCCTGGGTCCCATAGTTTTGAGTAGTGGCCGCTACTCTCTGATGTTGCTCTGTATGTGTTCACTGGGGAGGTGGAGGAGCCCCTGAGCCCCACCCTACAGATATGGAGGCTGTGCCATGAGTGCCCAACCTCTGTTCTGCCTGAGAAAGGTCTGTGAGGTGTGTGTGGTTTTCTTCATTGTGGTTTGAAAAGAAGAGAAGGCAAGATGGGTGGAGGCCAGGTGGAAGGTCCAGACATTGTTAAATATATGCTAAAGTTTACTATTCAGACTTTAGTAAGTTGGGTGGAGGTTCGTCTGAAAGCACTGATGTTTTTAAATACATAATGTTATTTTTCTGTAGGAAACTCAGGATGTGGCTGCCTCTTTTGACTTTCTCCATCTCTTGTCTGGGGATCTTCTAGGCTGTCTGCTTTATTCCCTGCTTCCCAGTGCATATTCCACTGAGCAAGGCTGATTCTCAGTCTGTGTTGGTCTAGCACTGATCGTCAGCCCTAGCCACCAGCAGGATGAATTTCCTGGATCAGCTTTGAAGACTTTTCCTGTGCATGTCTGTCTTTGTCCTTCTAGCTCATTTTGTAAAGGTCTCAAGGGCAAGGACGGTGACTTTGGCTCTGAAGCCTCAAGATAGCAGCCTTCTCAGCTCGTCCATTTCAGGTCCTTTCCAGGAGGACCTGGACACCGAAGGTACCACAGAGCGTTAATTACATCTCTCTCCTGCATGTGGCCCTGTTGGTCTCCTGGGATGCTTGGAACGCCAGTGCCACGTTGAAATGCCACTGATTTTCTCCTGGACTCCCTGCCTTGTTTGTCCAGTCACCCAGTTAGGGGAATCACAAAATGATGCTTTTGGGAATGGGGTCATTCCTTCTCTCCCTTTGTGTAAGGATCATCCACACTGACACTTCTCACATGTCCCAGGGCTTCTCCCAAGGGCTGGTCTCTGTGGGCTTTTTCACTTTTCCCATCACCACCCCCAAAAAACTACTGCAGGAGACCAGAACATTGAAGCCAGTGATTTCTGTTTGGAAATAGGGTCGTCTTCTGCTGCTGACCCCCATCAAATCCCATCATGCCCACAGCCCTGTGCCCCCGAGTCTTGGCTCCGAAGGAAAGTGAGGAGCCCAGGAAAATGAGGAGCCCACCGGGAGAGAACCCTAGCCCCCAGGGTGAGCTTCCCAGCCCCGAGTCCTCCCGCCGCCTCTTCCGACGGTTCTGCTACCAGGAGGCGGCGGGCCCTGGGGAGGCCCTGCACCGCCTCTGGGACCTGTGCCGGGGCTGGCTGCGGCCTGAAAGGCACACCAAAGAGCAAATTCTGGAGCTGCTGGTGCTGGAGCAGTTTCTGGCCATCCTGCCCCGGGAGATCCAGGGCTGGGTGCGGGCCCAGGAACCTGAGAGTGGCGATCAGGCTGTGGCTGCTGTGGAGGCACTGGAACGAGAGCCGGGGAGACCCTGGCAATGGGTGAGCAGAGGGGGCTGGGCTGGGCTGGCTGGGAGGATGGGAAGGGAGAGGGAGAGAGTGGGGCTGGGCAGCAGGTGTGGAAAGGGGGGCCACCTTGTGCTTTGATGGTTTGGTGGGGTCACACGTCCCCTGGCCAGGGATGAGGAATTCCATCTAGAGCTATGTGCTTCGGTTATACCCACATTGAAGTTTGGTTTCTTAGAAAAGCAGATTCCATTCCCTAAAGGCCCTAATTGGTGGCATGGTTATGTTACCCCCCCGCCCCCGCCACTTTATAGCCCTGTACAAGGCTGGGACTGAGCTTCTAGTGGTAGAGTCAACAGTCAGCAGGCCCAGGGAGGGAGGGGTTTGCCCAGTCCCTGGCACAGTTGCTGGTCCTCATCTGGCTAGGGACTTCTCCACCGAGCTCTGAAAAGCCCTCTCTGGGATTGCAGCTCAAGCACTGTGAAGACCCCGTGGTGATTGACGATGGGGACAGCCCTCCAGACCAGGAGCAGGAGCGGCTGCCAGCAGAACCCCAGAGTGACCTTGCAAAGAGCCAGGACGCCCAGCCCATGGCCCTGGCTCAGGGCCCCGGGCTTCCAAGCAGACTCTCGGGCCAGCTCAGCGGGGACCCAGGTAGGGAGCCCAAGGGAGTGGGGAAGGGGTGTTTGTACCTAGTCCTGTGCACTTGGAAGTAGCTCTTGACATTTTTAGTTCTCTCCTTCCCCCTAAGTAGCCTGGAACCATTTCCAGCGTCTGGTTCTTCCCTAGAGCAGTTCAATCAGAATCTCATGAGAGTATCCTCTTTATGGGTGCCAGGTCTGCCCAGAGGGACCTCTACTATGGGTAGGTGTTTTTGAGGCTGCATCATCTTGTCTCTTTGAGGGCGCACCTCTGGGCTTTGTTGGTCTGGGGACAGCTGGGCACTGTCACCGTCCCAATAGGGCCTGTGTGGGGAGCTGAGCATGGCCATGTCCTCTTGTCTCTCTGAACCTCTCTTTCCCCAGCCAAACAACTTCTGCTCTCAGGATTGTTATAATATTGCAAAGAAATATAAAAATGCTTCCTAAGGGATAGGGTGATATCTTCAGGACTTGGAGCATGGATATTGGCTAGACGTGTCTGAATATCTGTACAAAATGCACTAATGGCCACAGTCAGGTGGCTTTGGCAGCAGATACACTTGGCTTTGAATCCTCCAGGTATGACCCGGGGCATGCTTCTAAACTCTGCAAGCCTCAGTTTCCTGGTCTGTCCAGTGGAGATAATCTCAATAAAGTGAGTCACATGAAATTTTGGTTTCCCAGTACATATAAAATTTGTGTTTACACTGTAGTCTATTAAGTGTCCAATAGCATTATGTCTAAAAAAATCAATGTACATACTTTAATTGAAAATATTTTATTGCGGACTATCATGAGCCGTCAGCACGATGAAATCTTTTTGCTGGTGAAGGGTCTTGCCTCCATGCTGATGGCTGCTGACTGATCAGGATGGTGGTTGCTGAAGGTTGGGGTGACTGGCAATTTCTTAAAATAAGACCACAATGAAGTTTGCCTCATTGATTGAATCGTTCCTTTCACGAACAGTTTCTCTATAGCACGTAATGCTGTTTTATAGCATTTTACCCACAGAACTTTATTCCTTTTAAAATTGGAGTCAGTCCTCTCAAACTCTGCCATTGCTTTATCAACTAAGTTCATATAATATTCTAAATCCTTTGTTGTCATTTCAGTAGTCTTCACAGCATCTTCACCTGGAGTAGATTCCATCTGAAGAAACCACTTTCTTTACTCGTCCATAAGAAGCGACTCCTCATCCATTCAAGTTTTATCATGAGATTGTCGCAATTCAGTCACATCTTCAAGCTCCACTTCCAATTCTGGTTCTCTTTGCTGTTTCCACCACATCTGCAGTTTCTTCCTCCACTCAAGTCTTGAACCTCTCAAAGTTATCCATGAGGATGGGTATCACCTTCTTTCAGACTTCTGTTAATGTTGATATGTTGATCTCTTCCCATGAATGTTCTTTTTTTTCTGGCTGTGCCACGCAGCTTGTGGGATCTTAGTTCCCCAACCAGAGATTGAACCTGGGCCCCGGCAGTGAAAGCACAGAGTCCTAACCAGTGGACTGCCAGGGAATTCCCGTGAATGTTCTTACTGGCATCTAGAACGGTGAATCCTTTCCAGGAGGTTTTCAGTTTACTTTGTCCAGATCCATCAGAAGAATCATTGTGTATGGCAGCTATTGCCATGTGAAATGTATTTCTTAAATGATAAGACTTGAAACTTGAAACTACTCTTCGACCTGTGGGCTTCAGAATGGATGTTATGTTAGCAGGCATGAAAACAATGTTAATCTCGTATATCTCATCAGGGAGCTCTTGGGTGACTAGTCAAAAAGCAGTACTATTTTGAAAGGAATCTTTTTTTCTGAGGAGTAGATCTTAACAGTGGGCTTAAAATATTCAGTAAACCATGTTATAACCAGATGTGCTGTCATCTAGGCTTTGTTCCATTTATAGAGCACAGGCAGAGTAGATTTAGCATAATTCTTAAGGGAAGTTTTAGTAGTTTTGGAATTGTAAATGAGCACTGGTTTCAACTTATAGTCACCAAATGCATTAGCACCTAACAAGAGAGTCAGCCTGACCTCGGACGCTTTGAAGCCAGGCATTGCCTTCTCTCTAGCTCTGATAGTCCTATAGGTGGCATCTTCTTCCAGTATAAGGCTATTTTGTCTAAACTGAAAGTCTGTTGTGCAGTGTAGCCACCTTCATTTAATGATCTTGGCTAAATCTTCTGGATGACTGGCTGCTTTACCTTGGACTTTTATGTTATGGAGACCGGCTTTTTCCCTTAAACCTCGTGAACCAACCTCTGCTAGCTTCAAACTTTTCTTTTTCAGCTTCCTCAACTCTCTCAGCCTTAATAGATTGAAGAAAACTAGGGTCTTGTTCTGGATTAGGTTTTCGCTTAAGGGAATGTTGTGGCTGGTTTGATCTCTCCAGACCACTAAAACTTTCACCATATCAGCAGTAAGGCTGTCTTGCTTTCTTGTGTGTTCATTGGAGTAGCACTTTTAATTTCTTTCAATAACTTTATGTTTGCATTTGCAGCTTGGCTGTTTGGTGCAAGAGGCCTAGCTTTCAGCCTATCTCAGCTTTTGACGTGCCTTCCTCACTAAGTTTAATTATTTCTGTCTTTTGATTTAAAGTGAGAGGTGTGCGGCTCTTCCTTTCATGTGAACACTTAGAGGCTACTGTAGGGTTATTAATTGGCCTAATTTCAGTATTGTTGTGTCTCACAGAATAGAGAGGCCCGAGGAGAGGGAGAGAAGTGTGGGAGCCACTGGAACACATTTATCAGTTAAGTTTGTTGTCTTATATGGGCATGGTTTACGGCACCCCAAAACAATTACAATAGTAACATTAAAGATCACTGATCACAGATCACCGTAACAAATACAATAATGGAAAAGTTTGAAATGTTATAAGAATTATCAAAATGTGACACAGAAACATGAAGTGAGCAAATTCTTTTGGGAAAATGGTGCCAGTAGGCTTGTTTGATGCAAGGTTGCCGCAAACCTTCAGTTTTTTAAAAAAGTAATATCTGCAGAGTGCAATAAAATGAGGTATGCCTAGATACCCATAAAATACTGAACAGGGGGCCTGAGCTGCCCATGGTTTTTTTGTTTGTTTGTTTGTTTGTTTGTTTTTATTTTTTTATTTTTTGCTGTGCCGTGCAGCATGTGGGATCTTAGTTCCCTGACCAGGGATCAAACTCGTACCCCCTGCAGTGGAATCATGGAGTCCTAACCACTGGACAACCAGGGAATTCCTGCCATGATTTCTAGTTGAAGTAATTAATCATCATGGAAAGAAGTGGTGCTCTCAGCTTGAAGGAAGTGACCTGTAGGGTGTGAGGGTTAGTTTGGGCAGACTTGTGCTACAGTTGTGCTACAGTTATAGATGGAAAAAGAAAGTATGAGGAGACAGGAATGCGTTCTTATGATTCACAGAAGTTGTCCTTGTCATTGTAATAAGGTTTTCAGTTTTTAAAAGTTTCTTTATGTGTGAAACTATACTGATTTCTGTTCAAATCAAATTAACGCTCCAGCCTCTCCTTGGTTAAAAGTCAAGACAGATGTGCTAGTTTGTTTGGGCTGCCATAATAGAGTCCCACAGACTGGGCAGCTTAAACAACAGAAATTTATTGTCTCACGGTTCTGAAAGCTGGAAGTCCTAGATCAAGGTATCAGCAGAGTTGGTTTCTCCTAAGACCTGATTCTCCTTGGCTTCTAGACAGCCATCTTCTCCCTGTTTGCTCACATGGTCTTCCCTCTGTGTGTCTGTGTCCTAATCTCCTCTTATTATAAGAGCCTCAGGCATATTGGATTAGGGCTCATCCCAGTTACCTCATTGTAACTTAATTATCTCTTGAAAAGCCCTATGTCCAAATCTAGTCCCATTCTGAGGTACTGGGGGTTGGACTTCAACATATGAATTTGGCAGGGATGTGGTTCAGCCCATAACCACAGGCATGAGAAACAACCATTTGCCCAAATAAACAATACATGTGCAAGCAGCCTGGGTTATGCAGTTGATGATGGCCGTGATAGGACCCTCAGGAGGAGGAGGTGCTTCAGGAACTGTAGCAGCCTACTCACTCCTGGGTGAAGTTCTGAGATAATCCAGCTACCATGGATGGGCTTTGGGTCAAAAGCGTCAGCGCTTCCATTTCCTTGAGCAATAATGAATGGACAAAGTAGGCATGATGAGAGTTAGCTATTAAGAACACCTTAAATGTTCAGGTGATTTATCATTGGGAAGCACTTCCAGTAAAAGCCATATAGTTCCTAATCTTGAAGCTTTTCCCCAAAATATAGATTTTGTTTGGAGGCTGAAAGCTGTCCAGAGTAATCTTTAAAGCATCGATGTGCTCATTTATCGTGGTGAAAGATAGGGTAGGGCTGTGTCTTATACCCCAGAAGGTGGTAGGTATGAAAGCAGAATTAAAACATGCCTTCCTCAAATCCATGCCCACCTAGCCTGAGCTTCTGGCAGCGGAGTGAAGAGGCTGCCTTCCGTGGGGAATTCTCCTCACACACCCCCACCCAAGTGTCACTGCTGGTCTGAGCTGGCTCCTGTCTCAGGCTGTTGTTCCAAATAGCCACACCTGCCCCTGCTGTTTGCCGAAAGCTCTATGTCCCAGGTGTGAAAGGTGAGGAACACTGGCTTCTAATGTTAGCTTCGACACTGATCTCACATTATGAGCTGCGGTTAACCTCCCAGATTTTCTCCAAACTGAGAGATGATAGTGCAGCTTATTCTGTGAAAGGAGTACCTTTTGTGAAACAGCTCATTTTGACATGGCTGCACCATAGGCCAGGTATGTGGCTCACTTCTTGCAGAAGCCTGGGCATGTGCTGGTCAGGGGAGAGAAATCATATAAGAATGTAGCAGAAGCCCTTGGTAGCTCAAGATAAGGGAGAGTGAGATGATCCCAGTACTACAGTGTGTACACATTTTGAGTGATGGTGGTTGGGCACTGTGGGAGGTGCTCTTCCAGGAGCCTTTGACAGAGATAATAGTCTTAAAGAGCTTTGCAATTTATAAACTTATAAATGTATAAATTTATATGACACTGGAGTCCCACAATAATCTTAATTGCTAACAGCTCTTACTGACCCCTTTTACACCATGGACCTCTAACCTTCATTTCCCTTGTATTGTGGATGATACAGCTGAGGTCCCTGGACCTTCAGGGAGTCACATAGCTAGTTGGTGGCAGAGCCAACTGGACCCCAGGCATTCCCCGTTACTGCCCCCACTGACATGTCTGAAAGTAAAGTGACAGAAATCCTTATTTTGCAAGTGCTTTTTTTTTTTTTAACTTACTTATTTATTTATTGGCTATGTTAGGTCTTTGTTGTTGCATGTGGTCTTTCTCTAGTTGCAGCGAGCAGGGCCTACTCTTCATTGTGATTTGCGGTGGCTTCTCTTGTTGTGGAGCACAGGCTCTAGGTGCGCGGGCTTCAGTAGTTGTGGCTTGTGGGCTATAGAGTGCAGGCTCAGTAGTTGCAGTGTGCGGGCTTAGTTACGCCGCAGCATGTGGGATCTTCCTGGACCAGGGATCAAACCCGTGTCCCCTGCATTGGCAGGCAGATTCTTAACCACTGTGCCACCAGGGCAGTCCCGCAGGTGCTTTTTATGTGCATCATCTGGTAATCCTCTTTCTATAGGTGAAAAAAGAGACCCAGGATTTTATGAGCTATCCATTTCTGATCTCTTTCAGTCCTGCAAGACACTTCCCTTCTTCAGGAAGCGAGTTTGAGGGACGCACAGCAGGTGACTGCCCTCCAGCTGCCCCCGGTGAGTAATTTCTTCAAGGGTCTTTGAGAACCCCATATTTGCCTCTCTCCAAGCTGCATGGCAGCTTTTCCAGGACCCCAGCCAGCTTGCTGTCTGCCCCACAGGTTGTTCAGCCCTAGCAGAGAAAAACTAATACAGGAAGGGCATGAGTTTGTAAGATGCTCTTTTGCATCCGCCCTGCCTGTTTAGTCCTGGCTGTTCACCATACTGGCTGTTTGTCACCTTCGGGAGCCTTTGTGCAGACAAAGATGGTGGAAAACAAATGCCCTGGAGTCCTTGTCTGTTGTCCTCTTGGCATCTTAGAGTTCCTTTCCTGTGAAAAAAGAGACCTCTTCACTCTTTTACTTCATAGGGTATTTTTTTTATTTAATAATAATCACGGTAGTAGCTGTTTCAGAAATATTAGGAAATGGAGGAAAAAAGCACAGATTATTTCAGCACCGTCACACAACCGTGCAGTGAGTTGTTAGGGAATCTCCTCTGCATTTTCCCCTTCCATGTTCCCTCACGAGGCTTACTTTCTCAGGTGTCCTCACAGGATAGGGGCTGGTGTTGGTCTGGCAGGTGCTCTCACCCACCTCTTTTCAGCCCAGTTTCTGCCTTTGGCCTTGGTTTCCCACCATACCCCTTCATTTTTATTTCTAATGCTTTCCATTGGCTGGCATAAAATTTAGTGACTGTACCACAGAGTCATCTCCTCCCACAAGAATGGGCTGTGTGAAGGTATGGACTTTGTTTTGTTTCTGGTTCCCTGGCAGCTTGAAAACTGAAGGACAGTAGATGCACAGGAAACACATCTCAAGTTTGCTGTCCGCGCAGTGCATTCGATAAGACTTTAAACTTGGGGAGTGGAGAGGGCTCAGGATAGGAAGGATTAACCAGGGTACATGGGATGGGGTGTCTCTATTCCCTCAGTGCTGTACTCATGGGCCCTAGTGCTCAGCACACGTGTTTTAGCATCCTCTATGTACTGTGATAGTTGTTGAACACAAATGACTCAAAGGAGATGAAACTCATATTTCTTATTAAAACTTGATACCTTTGACCAGTATGACACACAAGGAGATACTGTGAATTTAATATCCAATGAGCTTTGGTATTCATCTTGTGAAAGGAAAATGTAGATTTTGATAAATCAGTGCTGTTTTATCACTCTATTGAGGATAGTTTCTGCCTAGTGCACTAGAAATCACCATTGTGAAGGTCTTTTTTTTTTTTAGTTTTTAAAAAAAATTCATTTGTGGTAGAATGTGCATAACATAAAATTTAGTATCTTAACCATTTCTAATGTACAGTAGTGTTTTTAAGTGTTCAGTCATGTTAAACATATTCACATTGTTGTGTAGCCAATCTCCAGTATTTTTTCATTTTGCCAAGGTGAAATTCCTCACAAATTAAGTAATTAATTCCCTCCATTCCCTCATACCCCCAGCCCCTTGAAACCACCATTCTACTTTTTCTATGATTTGACTACGCTGGATAGCTCATAAAAGTGGAATCCCACGGTATTTGTCTTTTTCTGACTGACTTATTTCATTTAGCGTAATGTCCTCAAGGTTCATCCATGACGTAACATGTGTCAGAATCTCCTTCCTTTTTAAGGCCGAATAATATTCCATGGTATGTATGTAATGCATTTGGTTTATCTGTTCATTCATTGATGGACACACCTTTTATTATAAATAATGCTGCTATGATCATGGGTGCACATAAAGTTTATATATTTTTTATTTTTTTACACAATTGTAGATTCACATGTAGTTGTAAGAAATAACAAGAGATCCCTTGTACTTTTACACTAAATGGTAACATCTTGTAAAAATATAATACAGTATCACAACTAGCATATTGACATTGATACTTTTAGGATACAGATCATTTGCTTCACTGGAGGATCCTTCATGTTGCCTTTTACAGCCAAACCCACTTCTCTTTTACCCCATGCTCTCATCCTTCTCTGACAACCACTAATCTGTTTTACATCTCTGTAATGTTGTCATTTCAAAAAAATTATATAAATGGATTTATCAGCATAATTCTGTGGAGCTTCAGCCAGGGTTTTACATGTATCAGTAGTCCATTCCTTTTTTAGTGCTGAGTAGAATTCCTTGGTTTGTATATACCACAGTTTGTTTAACCCGTTACCCATTGAAGGATATCTAGGTTGTTTCCAGTTTGGGGCCATTTTGCATAAAGCTGCTGTAAACATTTGTGTACAGGTTTTGTGTGAACATCGGTCTTCATTTCTTTGGAGTAAATGCACAGGCATTCAGTTGTTGGGTTGAATGGCAAGTGCATATTTAGTTTTTCAGGGAACTACTACATCCTTTTCCAGAGTGACTGTACCATTTTGCATTCCTATGAACAATGTATGACTGATCTACATTTTTCACATCCTCCCACCATTTGTTGTCACTTTTTTAATTTTAGCCATTCTGATAAGTGATATCTCATTATGGTTTAAATTTGCATTTCCCTAGTGACTAATAACGTTGTACATCTTTTCAGGTGCTTAGCTGCCATGCGAATATTCTCTTATGTGAAATGTTTCTTCATGACTTTTGCCTGTGATCTAATTGGACCATTTACTTTTTCTCTGTTGTTTCAAGAGCTCAGTATGTACTCTAGATACTTGTCCTTTGTTGGATATGTGTTTTACAAATATATCCTCTCACTCTGGAACTTGTCTTTCCACCCCTTTAACAGAGTTTTTAGCAGAGCAAAAGTATTAAATTTGGATTAAGTCCAGATTGTGAGTTTTTCCTTTTAAGGATCATGCTTTTGGTGTAAAGTCTAAGAACTCTTTGCTTAGTCTTAGATCCCAAAGATTTTCTCCTGTTTTTTCCTAAAAGTTATATAGTTACGTACGCATTTTACGTTTAAGTCCATGATACATTTAATCCGTGATCTGTGATCCATTTACATTTAAGTCCATGATCTCTAAGTTTTGTATAGGGTGTGCGACTTAGGTCAAGATTCATGTTTTTTGCCGGTGGACGTCCAGTTGCTCCAGCACCATTTGTTGAAAACGTTGTCTTTTCTGAATTGCTTTTGCTCCTTTATCAAAAATCCATTGAGCATATTTGTGTGGGTCTTTTCCCAGGTTCTCTGTTCTGTTCCGTTGATCTGTCTCTCTCTCTAATAGTACATAATTTTGATTACTGTACCTTATACTAAGTCTTGAAATTAGGTAGATTGATTCCTCCTTTTTTATTTTTTTTTCTCAAAATTATTTTAGCTATTTAGTCCCTTTGCCTTCCTCTGTGAATTTTAGAATAATCTTGTCCATATCTATAAAGGGTATAACTGAGATTTTGATAGGAATTTTGTTAAACCTGTATATCAATTTGGGGAGCATTGACATTTTTATCATCTGAATCTTTCAATCTGTGAATGCAGAATGCTTCTCCATTTACTTAATTTTTTTGATTTCTTTCATCACTGTTATGTAGTTCTTAGCATATACGTTTTGTATGTGTTTTGTTAGATTTATATGTAGGTACTTCATTTTTTGAGGAATTACAATTTTTATTTTTAATTTTGATGATAACACATCCATTTATAGTATAATAAACACAATTGATTTTTGAATGTTTATTTTCTATTCTGTGACCTTGCAGGATTCATACATCAGTTTAAGGAGGGTTTGGGCTTTTTATTTTATTTTAAACAGTTCCTGGATTTTCTGTGTAGACAATTGTGTCATCTGCAAATAAAGGCAGTTTTCTTTCTTTCTTTCCAGTTTTTATGCTTTTATTTCCTTTTCTTGCCTCATTCCACTGGCTAGAACTCCCAGCACAATGTTGAATAGCAGCAGCGGGGACAGACATCCATCCTTGCCTTGTTCCCGAAATCAGGGGGAATGCATTCAGTCTGTCACAATTAAGTATAATGTTAGCTGTAAATTTTAAATAAATTATCAAGTTGAGTAAGTTTCTTAATTCCTATTTTTCTGGAGTTTTTATTATGTGTGATTGTTGAATTTGTCAAAACCTTTTCTACTTCAGTTGATATGATCATGTGAATTTTCTTTAGGCTGTTAATATTATGGATTTATTGATTGACTTCTGAATATTGAACCAGCCTTGCTTCCCTGGAATAAACGCCTTCTTGTCATGGTATAAAATTCTGTTTATATATTGCTGAATTTTATTAGCTATTATTTTGTTAAGGATTTTTTTTTTTTTTTTTTTTTTTTTTTTTTAAAATTAGTGGGCCTCCCACTGCCGCGGCCTCCCCCGTCACAGAGCACAGGCTCCGGACGCGTAGGCCCAGCGGTCATGGCTCACGGGCCCAGCCCCTCCACGGCATGTGGGGCAAGTGGGGGCCACTCCTCATCGCGGTGCGCGGGCCTCTCACTATCGCGGCCTCTTGTTGCAGAGCACAGGATCCAGACGCGCAGGCTCAGTAATTGTGGCTCACGGGGCTAGTTGCTCCGCAGCATGTGGGATCTTCCCAGACCGGGGCTCGAACCCATGTCCCCTGCATTGGCAGGCAGACTCTCAACCACTGCGCCACCGGGGAAGCCCTGAGCGTACTTTTTTAAGGCAATTTTAACTTTTTCCACCGCCGTAACACCACTCCGTATTTCTCACTGCTGGTCTTCTCTTCAAACACTTTTTTCAGGAGAATCCTCATCACTATCTCTGTTTCTGCTTCTCTATCCTCTCCAATTAGAAGATCCAATGTATCTCCCACTTCACCGTTCTGCTTTTCTTCCATAATTTTTCCCCGTTCAGCCTGAGTTCACCTTTGTAGAATGCATCTTCCACTTTGTTTCTCCGGATATCTAGGCCCGTCTTCAGGATAACATCATATCGGAAAGACTGCACTACTTTGTCCAGGTCCTTATGGTCTCTGACCGCACTGGGGTTGTCCTCTGGCTCCTCTTCTTGCTCACTCATGATGCTCACTCTCTTCATCAGAGTCCCCTTCATCTTCCACTTTTTGCAGAGTCTTTTTAGTGGATTTTTTAGAGCTTACATTACTTTTTTTTTTTT